CTTATCTAAGACAATCAGACTCTTCCCAGGGTCAGAGGTCAAGCATGCCTTACTATCTGCATAAAAAAGTAACTGAAGGACCTGGGGCCAAAACAATTTTGGCCTCAGGTTTGTAAAGAGTGGAGAAGAGCCTGAGTCCCCACACACATTACTGCCCAGGATTCAGGAGCAGTGACGCTTCTCAACAGTTTCCATCTGCTGATTCCTGTCCGGGAACAAAACGGTGGGGCAGCTGGGAGACGCAAGGCTCCTAACATTGGGTGTTTGCATTTCAGAGCAGGGCCTCTTGCACCCCGCTCCCGCAAACCCTGACCGGCCAGTGGTGGCCACACAAGCACAGCACAGCCTGTCCTACAGACACATCCCAGGGAGATGTTTCCTGGGTCTCTCAAGTGAAACATCTGCTTCGAGCATTAAAGCACAATCGTCTATTGTCTCACAAAGCCTCCAACCTTGGCACCTCTGGGTAGATAGTCACCGCGGGAGAGAGGAAAGAACAACCCGCCAAACTCCTAGTACGTCTGCCTCCCGCCCACCTCCACATCCTTACCTCTGCACTGACCCCCAAACGTGCATCTGACCAGGTCTCTTTCCTGCTCATACATGTCGGAAAACCCACCACGCAGTCATGTGCACACACCTTCCACAGTGTGCGAAGCCCGGCCTCTCTCTCACATTCCCCTGTCTCCTTCCCGTTGAGGCCACAACAAATTCAAGGGCTCCCCTCAACCACCAAGCACATTCCTGCTCAGCATCTCTGCTCACGTTCCTCGCCCGACTCAACCTCCCTCAATGACCCCATTCCCAACCCCTCCAGTCCCAGTCCACATCTCCCCACTTCTGCAGAAGCCGATGGCCCACACCTACCGCCACACAGTAGTCACTCCAGAGCTAGACCCCTGGCACCTCTCCCAGAGCTGGAGTTCATTCCCCCTGGATCCCCTCCCAGAATCAGGATGTGTCCCCCCAGCATCCCCTTCCAGAACAGGGGTGCATTCCCCAGCGTCCCCTCCACAAAACTGGGGTGCATCACCCAGATCTCCTCCACAAAACTGGGGTGTACCCCCAGATCTTCTCCACACAACTGGGGTGTACCCCCAGATCTCCTCCACACAACTATAGTGCATCCACCAGCATCTCCTCCACACAACTGGGGTACATCTCCTACCATCTCCTCCACACAACCGGGGTGCACCTCAGCATCTCCTCCACAAAACTGGGGTGCACCCCCAGATCTCCTCCACATAACTAGGGTGCATTCACCAGCATCTCCTCCACACAACTGGGGTGCATCTCCAGCATCTCCTCCACAAAACTGGGGTGCACCCCAAGCATCCACTCCCAGAACTGGGGTGGCTCCACCAATATCCCCTCACATCACCCAGGATGCCAAGTTACTGTTTCAGGGCCTGGAGAAGACTCTAGAAGCAGCTATTGAATTGAATTCCTTTGTTAATGAGTTGAAACATGAAAATGCAGACAGGTCATGACAAGCCTGTATGGTCGGGATGTCTCTCATCTATAATTCGGGGGAATGCAGTTTTCACACTGACACGCTGGTTAGAGTTGCCTCAGCCATCTCAAGGCTCTCCCAGGCTCACCAGGCAGTCCCTGGGTAACTGTAACATACCGAGTGCCCACTGGTGCCTTGAGAGCCCCCAAGAGGTGGCTGAGCCCTGTCTGAGCCCAAGCGCTCCCCTCTGCCACCCTAAAGAGACAAGGCTTCCCAAGCTAAAATCAGGCCAGCAGATGCAGGGACGGACCTGAGCGCCAGTTACAAGACTGCCCAGGGAGACAGCGGTCATGTGATGTGACCCCACAGGCTGCAACAGAAAAAGTTCACCCACCAGGTGAACTCATGGAAATGACCTGGCCTCACTCACTTTCATATTCCAACACATTTGCTCAGCTTTGAAGCAACAGATGAAACTCGATAGGAAAATGAAAGATATGTTTGAAAACACGAAGGACTGAATTGTTACACAAAGAAAAGCAAAGCTAGAGGAACAGATTCGGGGATACAGGGATCCCTCTGATGGAGCGTCAGCCTCTGTACAGTGAGCAGCTCGTTCAAACCCACAGGGATCAGTATGCACACCACAGAGAAACACAAGAGGAAAACACGCATGAAAACCCAGCTGTCTGCATTAGTATAGGGAAAGCAGCATCTGAATAAATAGGAGGTACCAAGTCCTAGCAGAGACAGAGACAGAGACAGAGACAGAGACAGAGAGAGGCAGGGAGGGAGGGGCAGGCCCATCAGATGCAGCCCTGAGCCCCACTCAGAGAACCACTGCAACCCAGAGCTGAGCCTAATTAGGTATTACTCATAAAGATACAATGGAGCACAACGTTTGTTGGAAAATACCCAGGACCCACAGAGAGAAACAATGTCATATTTGCACTGCTCAAAATGTAACTAAGGAAATACTTCAAGTCTATGTGAATAAAGACGCTCATGAGGAAAAAACATTTTTAAAAACATGATGCCTAAATGTCAGATGCTGGGAACACTCAAGTTACACGTGCAGGGGAAGAAGCAGCAGCTGCCTTCAGTTACGTTTAGAACATGGGTGGATATACCTGTGGGAAATGTTAAGTCAAATGCAGAAATAAAATTACATATACACCAAAATGACAATGATGTGGGAAAAGAATATGCATAAAGGTGAAACCTTGAAAATACAGAGCATTTAGTTGGATTGACAGGATTGGGTGACATTTACCATTTTGCAGATTTCATGCTAAGAACATCAGCTCTGTGGTAAGAACTCAGACATGTCTCTGAGCCTCCGTGAGTCTGGGCTTCCTCCTCTGTAGGACTGAGAAAACACACCCTTACTCACGGAGCTGCTGTAAAAGCACGTGAAAGGACATGCGTACAGCCGCAAATGCTAGACTTGTGGCTGCTCCGTGACAGCAGGACTATCTGTGTGGCCACTATATTCCCAGGGCTGGAACGTGGGTGCAGAGAGAGAGAACACAGCCTTGCAGAATCTTCGCACACAAGCACACAAGCACACAGAGTGGCCCACGGCCATCACCAGCATCGTCGCCATTGCTTGCATCGTCACCATCGCTACCGGCATTGACAGACAGGACCGACCTTGAGTTACAAGGGGACACCAAGCGTTAGAAAATACTTCAAGGCTGGAAGCGAGGTAGTCTACAGGAAAGGCAGCAAGAAAAGAAATGAAATTAGACAAAAATAGGAGATGGGAAAGGAAGATATTTGAAAGGAGACAGAAAGGAGAGAGAGAATAGGAGAAAAAGGAAAGGAAGATTCAGAAACACATAACAATAGCCCAAAAAGTCACTTTTCCAGTCACCTTCAGGGGTATAGTGAAGGGGAGAGGGCTCCAAAGAGTCACTTCTGGGAGTAGAAGCATCACACTGAGCTCAAGTGTTTCTCAGAGAGCGCTAGAGATGCTCCATCAGTGCTGACGCCCGGTCTGGAAAACATGCGGCAGGGCACAGCCCCAGAAGATGCACTATTTATACACACACATGCACGTGTGCACACACTTATACACACACATCTGCACCCACACATGCACACATACACACATATCCCCACATATCTACAAGCATACACACATGCGCACACGTTCAGAAACATAGGCATGCACACACACAGTCCACATGAATGCAAATCCACACACATGCACACAGAGACATGCACACACACGCACATGTGCACATGTACAACCTGCAAACATGCCCCACATATCCACAAACATACACGTGTACACGCACAAACAAAAGCACACCTATCTACACATGCACGCGCACACACAACACACACCTGCACACATGCATGTCACAAATGTACAAATATACACACAGACACATATCTCCCACAGACATACCCCCCCACAGATCCACACACACCATCTATTTCTAAGCAAGATCCTACCTTTACTGTAAATGCTAGGTATGACCATAATATCTATAAATGAAAATATGCGTGTGCATTTTCTAAATGTACAGTCAGTACTTAACCTTGTATCTACAATCAAGGTAGGATCTCATTTAGAAATCAATCCCATCTGTCCCACCCCCAGGAAAATAAGCCTCAGCCACCAGCACTGTCGTGAAGCAGAGTCCAGGTTCTCCCAGTGAAAGGCCTCGCCCAGAGCTCTCAGAGCAGCCTCTTGGGCCCCAGGACAGCAGCAGATGAGGAAACACTGTGCCGAGGGATGAGCCCAGGGAGACGGCTGACAGTGGCTCAGGACAGTGGGAAACTAGCCCAGCTGCCTCCAAGCCTGCAGCCTTTAGGTTGGAGGCGACAGTCCCACTGCCCCAGCAGACCGTGGCAGGAGCTGGGCAGGGTGCTCTGAGGGCTCACAGCCGAGCTGCTAGTGCAGGGCTACCATGACAACCACGGTCACGGGCACAGTGCCCGAGACGCCCCCACGCTCAGGGTCAGCAGAAGCCTCGCCCCTCTGTGGGTCCCTCAGGCCACAGGTCAGTGCGCCAAGGCCGGCCAGGACCCGCGTTGGCCACCAATGCCAAGTTAGCCTATTCCGGCTGCATCTGGAGGCCAACCTGCCCCAATGCCCACCCCCAGCAAACCAAATGTCACTGTCAGTTGCTTTCAAGCAGCTCAGCCCCTTCCAGCGGCAGCAAACGCGCAGCACTGGCTCTCCACCTCGCTTCTGCCTCCACCCGAGTCCCACGAAGCCCCCTGGCATCTCCTCCACAGCCCCATACCTCGTGTCACCAATGGGTAAACTGAGGCCCTGGGATGACAGGGTGGCGGTTCCTTCACCTCCACGTCCAGGGCACCATCCTCCCGCAGCTGCCCCATCTCCTCTGACTTGCCGAGGGGGCCAGAAGCACATGCAGCCCAGAGAGAGGAAGGGCCAGCCCACAGAGGGCAGAGGGGGCCAACCGAGGCCTGAGGCCCCACCACCTCCCAGACAGGCCAGGCTGGGCCGCTTGGTGCTCCCCGCTCTGTGCTCCCCATGTCCCCGTGAGTGAGACCCCGCCACACCGACCTGCTTCTCATTCTCGTCCTCCAGCCTCAGCCGGTCCTCGATGCAGTTCCGGGCCTGCAGGAAGGACTTCCTCTGGGAGCGCTCGGCCAGGATCCTCACAAAGACCCCAAACATGTTCACGCTGAGGAAGAGCAGGGCGTTGGCCCCGAGCTGGAAGGGAGAGAACAAGGCAGAGCACCATGCACAGGGGGCCTAAGCTTGGCAGAAGCCCCTAAACATCCTCCGACAACCAGCCCACAAAATAACCGTGCTGTCCAGGGCGGCCACATGTGCTGCCAGACCCACAGCACAAAGTCAGCTTCACGCGGCCACGAGCCCAGGCAGCGGGCGCATCCTTCATCCTGTGCAGGGCCCATCCACGCCATAAGCTTGTCAGGTAATGGAACAGTATGCAAGAATGCAAGGTGTGCCCCCTAACATTCATATGGAAGCCCTAATCCCCAATACCTCAGAGTGTGACTGTATTTGGCAAGACGGTCTTTCAAGAGGTAAATAAGTCAAAATGAGGTCACTAGCATGGGCCCTAATCCAATGTGACTGTTGTCCTTACAAGAGGAGATGAGGACACAGACACACAGAGAGGGACGACCATGTGAGGACACAGGGAGAAGCCAGCCGTCTACACGTCAAGGAGGGAGGCCTCAGGGGGAACCAACCCCGCCCACACCTTGATCTCGGACTCCCAGCCTCCAGAACTGAGAAAATGAATTTCTGTTGTTTAAGCCGCCCAGTCTGCAGTATTTGTTATGGCAGCCCTAGGACACTATTACACCTAGAAAATATGAACGTGGAGAGAGAGTGGTTGTTCCCACAAAGACTACATGGAATGCTCTGCAAAGAAGCAGCGAAGGAGAGTTGATTAAAAACAAAAAGAAGAGGGCCGGCCCCGTGGCTTAGCAGTTAAGTGCGTGTGCTCCGCTGCTGGCGGCCCGGGTTCTGATCCCGGGCATGCACTGACGCACCACTTCTCTGGCCATGCTGAGGCCGCGTCCCACATACAGCAACTAGAAGGATGTGCAGCTATGACACACAACTATCTACTGGGGCTTTGGGGAAAAAAAGGAGGAGGATTGGCAGTAGATGTTAGCTCAGAGCCGGTCTTCCTCAGCAAAAAGAGGAGGATTAGCATGATGTTAGCTCAGGGCTGATCTTCCTCACAAAACAAAAAAAAAACAAAAAGAAGAAAGGACGACATTTGGGTGTGAAGTGAACACCTGTCACGTATGTATGAAGATGAAGAAAACACAGCGTTCAGAGCCCTGCGCTCTGCCAGGCGCCCTGGGTTCTCACTCCACTTCTATGGATGAGAAATGAAAAAGGGGCCCAGGTGAGAAGGACTCCTCCTGGGGCGCCAGCTCAGACCCACCCTCAGACGCTCAGATCTGCTCAACCAGGAAAGGACGCCGCACACATGAGCTAAAGTAGGGTGTACAAGGAAGAGAGTGTTTCACAACTTCCTGCTTTCACTGGCCTTAACTTAACTCCACACCCCCCAGGACTGACCTTGGGGGACTTCACAGGGACCAGCAATGGCAGAAGGACTCACTTGCCCTGGGGCACACCTCACATCATGGCAGATCCAGGAAAGGATCAGACACCACTTCCCCCACTCAGCCTCCCCAGCTGGTCTGTCCCCACCTCTCATGGCCACAGGGCCCAGGGCCCCGCAGGGGCACCTCTCACAGGCCAGCAGGACCACGGCACATCTCACGAGGCCCCCAGGCAGCTAACAGCGAGAGAGGACGCCCACTCACCTCCCTGGGACTGCGGTGTTGATAAGCATTGGACAAAACAGCTGCCCCTCAGGCACCGCAAAATGGAGGATTTCTACATCTGATTAAACTCAGGCATTTCCTGCAGGTTCCAAGTGTCACTGCTCCTAATGGATTAACCAGAAACACTCCCCACACGGACTGCGTGCTGCACACAACACACGGGACAGCACAGACAGTGGCACGCAGGACGGAAGTTTACAGCAGATGATGGGTGAGCCGGGCTGGAGAGCACTGGCTGCAGGACAGGGACAGGGGACACCAAGAGGCCATGGGGACAGAGACCACAGCACCTGGGCGTGGACTGGGGGCCGGGGGCAGGTGGGAGGGCAGAGACTGGGCCGGGGTGGTGCGAAGAGGAGGACAGACTGGGGCACACAGGGGAGGTTTGACTGGCCTGACTCCAGGTGTGTGTGACAGCCTCAAACACCTGGCCCTCGGGAGGATGGACGTACGGGGTTGCGGTCGGGAGTGATGTCCACCTAGAGATATTAGAGCTGCGCACAGGAGGCGAGAGGGAGCCAAGCCAAGGGACATGAACCTGTAGGGCTCCCGTACACCGCCGTCATCTCCCTAACACAGAGGAGTGAACTCGAGAGCAAGCTCAACAGAGCCAGTCTAGTCTCATGTACAACTGACAGAAGTGTGGGTACACCATTTACATCCACATAGACACGGGTGGAAAACATTCCTCCCAAATGTCGCCTCTGAGCGCCAGAGAGAGGGACAGACATCCTCTGTGAGGGCATCTGATAGAGTGGCCCAAAGTCCTAACAAAACAGTGCCTGCTATGACCTTGAGCATCTCCATGTGACCTGATCATCTCCATGGGACCTGATCATCTCCATGGGACGTGTGACCTGAACATCTCCATGTGACCCTGATCATTTCCACGTGACCTGTGACCTGAACATCTCCATGTGACCCTGAACATCTCCATGTGACCTAC